GGTGGGGGAGAAGAAAATTCGTATAGCTCAAAACTGGACTACTCTACGCAAAATCCAAACAAAAGAATAGACAAAGACGATATATAGTAGAGACTAGTATAAAGAAAATCGCTCAAGGGCTAAAATAGACCGAGGTGAAGGGCGATATATATACGTTCTCGTGTACAGATATGTATGTAATATATATATGTATGTACGTCTCGCGTTATATATTGGGATACTTCAGTGTGTCCAGATAACTCGTAAGACCACGATAAGACAAAGAGATTACTAGAGAGACGGAGAGAAAGGGAGAGAGAGAGAGAGAGAGAGAGAGAGGGGAGAGAGAGAGAGAGGGAGAGACAGAAAGAGAAGAGAGAGAAAAGAGAAAGAGAGAAAAAGAGAGAGGAAGAGAGGGAGAAAAAAAGCTAGAGAGATAGACAGATGATTAGAGCAAGGAGAGAAAATCGTAACCGAACATTTCTCTATCGACAATATATGATTCCGTATGTATCTCGCTCCTTCGTACTGCATGTTGTATAAAATGATTCGTATAGCTGTCAATTTTCCGTGTGTATGTGTACTTGGGTGTGTGTGTGTGTGTGTGTGTGTGTGTGTGTGTGTGTGTGTGTGTGTGTGTACGTGTGTATGTGTGTGCGTGTATGTGCGTGTATGTGTGTGTGTATGTGTGTATGTGTTACCACTAGTGAAACTAGTAGCGCGAGTGTGTCTTCAATTATGTTTATGTGTGTGACAGCCGTTGTCAGCGAGAACTTACTCGCTGGCTTGGGGAAATGTCATCCCGGTAAAGGACGGGGAGAGGGTTTCCGTGTACATCTCGCAGCCCGTGCCCTGCAGGTAATCATTCTGCCACGCCTGAGTGTCCGGCGACTGAAACACCAACCAACCAGGCCCCACGTCATCAAACCTTTCATAATCCGCAGGTGTGGACGCGCGGCGCGGCGACGGGGCCTTTCCCGCGGCGAAGAGTATCGGCTCAACGTGTGAGCGAGCGCGCTACTCTTCGTGAGGGGGCGGGGGGAGACGGTATCAGAAAATGGGTCATTCTCTGTTTACGCGCGTCTGAGCCGGAAAAGGCTAATCGTCCGATCGACGCGAGTTCGACGGGAAAATTCGCCTAAGTTATGCGGCGCTAAAAAGAAAGAAATGAATCGCTCCGAGAGATCCGAGAGAGTTCTGTAAGAAAATCTGGTTAGAGGTTCCCTACGGGTCCTACGACGCTAAAAAGTACGAGACGTCCGCAGGATCGTACACACGTGTTTCGGAGTTAAACGCTCGGCTTGTTGCCGGCAAGCATCTTCGGGACGAAATGTAGGCTACGAAAACGCTCGGATGTTGATCTCGGCCAAAGCCGCCCACTATATTCATGTCGACGCACGACGACTATGCGCGCGATGATGCATTTCGCAATTATGGCGACCGACCAGGGTAAGAGTTATCACCGACGAAACGAACGACCGCCGGTAATGATCAAATTCCAGCAGCCGTAATTCCGGGCGAGCACGTGCGCACACTCACTCACTCACTCACTCACTCACTCACTCGCTCGCTCACTCATTCGGTCGCCGGATCTTACACTAGGAAAAATGTATTGTTGCGTGAACGAAAATTTTGTTGTAACAACAAAATAATTTGGTTAAAATATGCCCAACAAAACTGTTTAGTTCCTGTAAAACAAATATCTTGTTTGATCACGGTTTGTTCGTGTGACGTAATACTTTTGTTATAGCAACCAAAAATCTTCAACCATATGATTTTTGTTGAAAATACCATGATTTTTTCTTAATATATAAAATCTAAATTTTAATGCACAGAAAGACAAAGTAGTATCCATTGGGCATTATTTTAGTTTATGTGAGATAATATTTCGTTATTATGTAATTTTTATGGATAAAATAACTAAAATGCTTAACTTTTACATATGAAGTCTAAGAACAAAATCATTTGGTCCAGAGGACAAAGCAGAAATATATATTTAGATGGGACAACTAAATATTTTGTTATATAAAACAAGATATTTGGTTGCTGTTAAAAAATGCCTCAACTAAACAGTTTTGTTAGAGATACTAAATTTTTCTTCCTAGTGTAGTGTCAGACGCGTGTCCTAGCGTACACGCGTCTGATCCCTCCTCCAAATGTCTGTCCCATCCCTCTTTGCCACCCGCCCATCAATCGCAGCGATTCATCGATCGATCGGGGCCCAAAGCCTTTCTCGTCATTTTTCTCTGTCCTTCCTTCGGCTGGACTGACGTATCGTTTGCGCGCGAATTCGTTCTCCTAGATTATGTTGATCCCTTCGTGCGGCGTAGAGCAGGAGCTCCGAGGTCCTCTGAGAGCGCTCTTTCATTGACACAGGAGACGAGACGGCGAGGGCGCGTGTTCGATCTCCGCTCTTCGAATTACCATCTTCCGCGATGAAGGCAGGAGTCGAAAGAGGATGGGGGGAGGGGAGGGGAAGTGGCGTGACTCTTTCCTCAGAAATTCTAGATTCACAGTACAATACTTTCCCACTGCCCGCGTATTTATCTCTGACGTCAGCATCGCTCGTCAGTGTCGGTCGTGCTTTCGTGCGACGTGTGCAATTGTTGGGAGAATAATTGTCGCGAAATAAAGATGAAAATTCTCGCCTTCCCGCTTAATTCTCTCTAATGTATTATTTAACACTCAACTTTTTCCAATTACGCGCGGCGCAGAAACACATTCCGAGCTTCTACAAAGCGCATTACGAAATTAGCATAATCGCCGACGTCGGCCGATAGACACGGTCCGGAAAACGAAATTTCATTTTTCTCCGCGTTCCCGCGCCTTTCCATCCGCGACGAGATCACGACACGGGAAATGACGAAAATACGGGTCATAGGTCTCTCCTCCTCGCAGGTAAGTAACAGACGCGGCAGCACACAAACCCCAAAGCGAAATTGGCAACAAGACGTGGGTCAAAGGATCGCTCTATGAATCTAGCTGTTCCGCCGGCAACAAGATGGAGATATTTCGGACCACCGTATTTGCCCGGAGCGTACGTTCGCCGCAGCGACCTTACCGGGAAGTTTCCGACCTGGGCTTACCGCGCCGGCGAATACGGTAATACCGAGAGAGTTGCGTCGAAGAATAGCCTATGGATGCTCCACGGAGAGAGAGAGAGAGAGAGAGAGAGAGAGAGTGAGAGAAAGGGAGAGATCCGGTAACTGCAGTGCGAGAGGTCGAGCAGCGCCGTCGCCGCTCGGTCAACCGTCAAAACCTCCTCCGTCCACTTATTCGTTAATCGATGTTATTGTTACATCATATCATATCAATTGCATAGAAGGGTGAAAAATACAGATACGTTACTGAAGCGATGAAGGGGTGGTTTACATCGATTAGGTGTAGCACAGATACGGTATTTGTACAATATAGTAGACACTTTCATGTATCATATATTGCAAAATGCACACATGTATGCGCGAGGCGTCGTTTCGTTGCATATATGTGTACATATTACACGTATATACGTTTATGTATATAGCGGAGTGGAGCGTAGTGAGAGACATAGGCGAGGCGAAGCTTCATCCCTTGTTTTTTTTTTTTTTTTTTTTTTCCATATCCTTCCGATTCAAGAGACCACGGATACCTTCCACGAGCGATCTTCCTGTCGTGTTGCGACGGCGAGAGCAACGCAGCCGCGGCAAACAGGCTCGCCAACAGCCGGCCGAGCGAGAAGCGTTCAAACTCGCGTGAAATATAGACGACGACGACGACGACGACGACGACGACGACGATTTTCAAGAACTAGTTTCTCCCGCAGTTTTACTCTCAAAGGAATCGCTCGCTTCCGAGTAGCACCTCTCGAGACCCCATCGCAGATGATAGGGATGTAGGTGCGCGCGATAAAAACACAACGAGTTTGATTTGTGTCTTGCAAGAAAGAATAGAAGAACCGTTCGTCTCCCGTGGACCTTTTGCGCGCTCAGCGGAGCGACGTGATGTAAATGGAATGAACGGGCTTACCCTAACTTGACAATCCAAATGTAATCACGAGTTTCACCGTTCGCGCGTTCGTACTCGAACTGTTGAACGTCTGAGGTAACTCGTGATGCGCGCCGAAGATCTTCGTTCGACTCGAGCCTCGTAAAGCTCGTTGACGCTGTTGCAAACTCCAGAGTAAACGGTTCGCGAAATGGCACGAAATAATGCAGCGTGTTGTCGGGCGGATTGTCGGCGGGTTCGACGCGAGAGAATATCCAA